ATAGTGACATTAACTTATGCATTGAAGTTTGTTTTGGAATTGACTTCTACAATTTTCATGAAGAATCTGTTTAGCCAATTTGTCAACATAGAATTTTTTATAATTATACTCAACTCCAAAGAACAAGCGATCACGACATCAATTTAGTCAAATCACGTCATTCAAAAATAAGTTTAGATTTTAAAATTTAAAAAAAGTCGACCTAAGCTCAAATATGAAGAGTTAAAACTGGCTCAGAGAAATAAAATTCAAGGAAACCATCTTGGGTTTCTTTGTTGACCTAAATAATCTTCTCGTATTGAACTTGTAAAATACCTGATTACCAATAACATTGCCTGAATGATAAGTTTCATAATAATTAAATTCAATCTAGTCTGAAAATATATAAGTTTACTAAGTATTATTATTTTTCTCCTGTTTTTTTTTTTTTGCATTTAAGTATTTTCACTTTTGTGTTGATTGACAATGGTTACTTCTATCTTCTCCCTGTATTATATCATAAATCAGACCTCCTGTTGACAGATGGTACTTTTAACAAAGCTTGTTATCTGTCAAGGCAATCTTGACTAAGGTTAATAATTCATTCATTAAGCGTGATCTTTTAAAAACCATTTCCTGGTTGATATGTAAAATGAACAGTAAAAGCACTTTGAAGACATGCCTATGCGATGAGTCTTTTCAGCACACCCCGTACATGTACACAAATAAAAGTCAGGAGAATGTGCATGGTGACGTAAGTCAACTTTACAGGAATGTGCGATCATCTTAAATCTTTTGAAAAGTTCACTGTCGCAAGTTCAATAAAAAGACACTTGTTTTTCTGACTTCAAATCTTAGTGTGGGCAAATGAAATATGTTAACTGCCTGTGTCCTGGTGGAAATTTATTTGCGGTAAACTATGTACCTTGACTGTGACGAGATCGGTGCAGACTTGAAATATAATTGGAAGTTGATTATTAGCATATACATCAACAAAGAAGATAAATGTATCTTTTTATCCTGCCTGCATGCATCAATAACTAAATTCAGTCAAGACTAAAACTTATGGTTGGATAATACCACATATTCTTAATGGGATTTTATTTTCTGCATACTAATGACGACAAAATACTTAATATCCTGTCCTTGTCTGCATGAAATTAAATCTTTTCAGGTAAAACATGCATGAAAACTGCCTCAGTAACTTTGGAGGAATAGCCTTTTAACCTTGTGAATATATCTCGCTATGATAACACTAAACTATCACCATGGTTACCTGATTATATTTCAATCAGGCATAGAATATCACCACAGCTACACTAAACAATCACCAATATATATCATAGCATGATTCTAATCAATTTCAATAATTCTTTTCAGACTTGGAACTATCACCATGACTATCTTGTCTTGTTTTCATTCAGCAACGAAACTATCAACATGGCTACCTAATAATTGATTTATCTGGAAAAATAACCATTATCATGGTTACATAGTCACTGTTTTAGTCTGGCAATAGAACCATCACCATGGTTACCCAGTCATCGTTCTAAATCAGCAATATAACCTTCATGATGGTGATAACTATCACCATGGTTACCCAGTCATCATTCTAATTCTAATACAACCATCATGATGATTACCAAATCATTTGGTTTTGATTTGAATATAGAACCACCACCATCGTTACCTTGTAACTGTTTTTAAGATCTAGGTTAATCACATGACACTGTAGGAAAAGTTCCTGTGAAATGATCACCAAATCACCATTTTTCTTCAGAGAACTACCCGAAATAGTAGATCCAATTACAACTGATTCAGAATATCAAATTGTCAGTCTGATACTATAAAACATGTCTGGTGATTATGTTAAGGTAATAAATCATTCACAAGGTTGTCTGATCTTTTTTCACTTTATCAATGAACAGGAGAGAGTCTTTTGATTTAAAAAAAAAATGCCAATGTCTTGAAATCAGATCTCGAAATAGCAGTAATGCTTTTCTGTATCTTTGTCCCTCCATTCTGTAGTCACCATGGCGATGTCAACACCAGATAAGCAGGTATAATTAATGTAAAACCACTAGTATCTGCGATGTAACATGATCAAAAGACTTTAAGACACTTCTGTAATCAATTCAGTATCTGCTTTAAAAAAATTTCCCATTGATAACATAAAGTAGAGATTTGTGTTTTATAAAACTGCCAACAGTAACAAGGCAGAGTTATATACCTTGTTGCTTAGCTCAATGCCTCTTTGAAATCTTTCAGAAAAAGATTATGATTGACCTCAAAACCTTTTATGTTTCCTGTTTTTGTTGGATATTTTTGCCAGGAAAGTCCAAATTGCATTTTTTTAAAGTCAAAGATTTAGAAGGTTTTCATAACATTCTTCAGGAAGATCAGAACAGCATGATGAGCTTTAGTCATTTAGGACTTGATATTGGTACCTTCAAAATCACTGAATTTGTTACATTTAAGTGTTATTTTGATGGTGAGTGCAGAACAGATCAAAGCCAATAGCCCTGCACTACACACTTGATATTCTATGCCATTCAAACATGTTTTTACTTTGCATTTCAAAATATGTATCATATGTAAGTGTGTCCGAATCAAATTTATCAAAACCAACTCAGTAAACCTAAACCTGACTTTAACACTCAAGGCTAAACATTACTCCTTTAAAACTATTGAATTTTTTTCTGGGAGACTTTTACAATGTTCAATGGCTGTAACACAATCACTCTCTGATACAAACTCTCCAGGTCTTTTGTCCACTAGTGTCAGGAGACTTAAAAAAGCCAAAATGAACATTCCTGAAATTTCTTCAAATCCATTCACTTGTACTAAATATAGTCATTTTCTAAGATTGTGTGTGAAACTGCTCTCGCCCTCAATATCTATATGATAACAAGGAAAGTTCATCAGCAGTATTTTTGCATGTTAACTTTCAGAAAGATGAAAACAAGAGGTCCATGGGCCTTTGCGGTTGTCTGACTATAAAGACCTATATATGAAAGAGGCCAAATAGGCCTTAAATAAATTGCTCAACTTCTCTACAGCTTACACAGAAGACATTGTTGGTTCGTCAAGACATTTTCTGCAAACTTGACATCATATTCTTTATACATGCATTACACAATTACCATTACTCAGAATGTATTGCTTGTTGAAAAAGCAAGCTACAGGCCGAATAACAAGACCCTTGGCCTTTCGGTTATTGAGAAGAAGTTGCTTAAGCATTTCAACAAATTTGACTCCTGTTACCTTGAAAGTTGGTCCAATATCAGCACTCTGGGCCTTTTGGTTATTGAGAAAAAGCCATTTAAAGATTTTAACATATTTGACCCCTGTGACCTTGAATGTTGGTCCAATATCAGCACTCTGGGCCTTTTGGTTATTGAGAAAAAGCCATTTAAAGATTTTAACATATTTGACCCCTGTGACCTTTCAAGCAGATAATTGTCATTCCTATTAATTAAGAGTTGAATCAACTTTCTGAATTGAAGAAATGATTTCCCAATGTCCATGATATTCTGGACTAAATCTAGTTGAAGTTCATCCAAGCATTAAGAAAGAGTAGCATTTTGAAGCAAAATATTGACTAACATTCCTATTTTTGGCCCTGCCCCCAAGTCCCTAGGGGTCAAATAAATTTTCTGAAGACCAAAAATGATTCTCTAATCTCAATGATGCATCTGACAAATTTGGTTCAAATCCATCCAGGTAGGAAAGAGGAATCAGACTTTAAAGAAAAACTTTACACACGACTCACGGCGGACTGCGCACGATGACGATTAAAAATATTGGTTAAGAACTCCAAACTACTCATGTAGAATGAAACCAGTGGGGTTTACATTGCAGACTAAGCCTGCAGAAAAATACTGATAGTTAGTTTCTTGATTTATATATTCAAATGATTCAAACACCTGGACTGTGATAAACAGGAAAAGTCAACGTTAGAAATTTAAACAAATTTTAAATTTGTAGTTTCATCCTTCTCTCACATGTCTGAAAGTACAATTGTCAGTCATTGATACACTGTGCATCAATTATATCCTTCTCTTTTCCAAAATAATTGGTTGTCAAGGTAACATAAACTTTGTATAGCAATGCACCTTCTGACATATTGTATTTACATGTGTACAATTGTACATGTTATTGGTTGATTACAATATACTGAACTTTGACCTTTTACACTGGTCTGTGCATCAAAGTCAAACCTTTTTTTCCCAAGGTGACAATCCCTGAATCAACATCTGATAACGTCCCAACACTGGCCGCCGTAGACATACAATTAGCGATTCCCAGAGTATGGCGCTGATAAACTGATCCTTGGGAGATGTTTAATTATTCATACATTTATCGTTTGTTTTAGGAGAAGAAAGATTTCATGGATTTAAACGGGGGAATACAATGTAATCAACATAAGATAATCAATTTCTCATCTTTCTTCCAACATTCTACTTCTACTATGAACAGTATCATCATAGGGCTAAAGAATATTGGTAAAACTAAACTAACTTTTCAAGTCCCAGCATATGTTTGTTGGCTACAACACTGTTGATATTAATAGTAAAACCAGTATCTATCAACCACAATCTCTGACAGAGAAGACAGTTGCTAAAGACTTACACAGATATTTCTATAAACAGTAAAAGTGACCTTGATCCGAGACAAAATCTATGAAAAGATTTTCTGTAAATGAAAAAAAAGGAGAAGATAAACACTTTCTTTAAATTGTGTTACACAAGGAGTGACCTTGACCTTGACACTAGAACATTTTCTCTTACTAAGTTGCTCACACCAACACAAGCTTGATCATATCACCAACACAAGAAAAGCTGGACCTGTTCCTGTATCTACATTAGCATGCATTTATATATAAAGTAAAATATTCCAAAATTAATCAGAATATATAAAAATGGTTTGCTAAAATCGACGAGAATGACTCAAGTGGCAGCAAAATCAACAAGAATGTCTCAAATGACAGTTGTTTCAACACGAGATATTAGAGAACTCACTCTGATATAGCCCGCTGGGATAGATCTTCTAGGTCTGTGCAGTCGAACAGGTGAGCCTCAGTCAATTGAAAGCTGTTCCTGCACGTCTGCAGGTAAACATTAATGTTGTCCTGGTGAAAAAAAAAAAGAGAAAATTTATGTCGTATGTTGGCTTTTTTAAAACCGGTCGCGGAATACTTAACTGGTATAATGTAGTCTTGGTCACAATGATGCATATCTGTGTTATCTATACACGTATCACATTTGGGTAATATATATAAAATTCTACAGTATGTATAACAATAATGTTGGGATTGTACACATCCTAATCACAATACAACATCGATTAAGATATTCAATAATTTCATATATCTATAATGTTACAATACTTTTTATGGCTAATATCATAAGTAATAATGGGAAATAATTTAACATTTCATACATCTATAATCTAGCAACACTCATGTTATTGGGACAAAAGTTTATGTTTAGCTACTAAAGTTGTGACATAAAACTTAACATTATCAAATGAGTTTGCCACAAACGGCTGCTACAAGTTGAACAGCTGTCGACTACGTTTAGTGACAACTGTCTTGCTAGTATCATGCAAACACACATTTTCCTAAAGATCACATCTGCAGAGACAAGAGAACTACCTCTCCTGGTTTGCCAGTTCTAAAGAAAAATGCAGGTACATAGTATAAGACAAATCAGTCTGACAGAACTGGCAACAGTCTATAATTTAAACATGTACATACCTGGTAGGTTCAACATAAACATCAATATTTAATACATAATTCCAAGGAACAACTTAGATAATACCAGCCCTAAGATTAATCAGAAAACTTTGGTGGGGATCTGAGATGTTTCAGTCAAGTCTCTTAATCTGTTGTGTTTTAATATTTAAGACTGTTGATCACGTTTTATTTCTGAATACTGCATGTAACAAACTGAAAGCTACTTATGGTTTTTCTTTTTTTCTGTAATCATATGTTTTCTGTAGAAAAATGGCTATGTATCTGAAATGCAAAAGGGGGCAACACATTGGCTCAGTTGGAAGAACATTGGCAAGACACTTAAATCTATGCAATGGGGCCTCCTGTATGCTATTCTGTGATGCAATCGCCACCTATACCCCCCCCCCCCCCTGCCCCCCACCCCCCCCCCCCCCCCCCCCACCCCACCCCGCCATAATGCCCTTGTTAATATCAACATTACAATGCACATGAGATGTGACATCTACTGTTATACTGAAACCCTGTTGAATTGTCACCCCTGTTTATAGCGCCATAAATGGCACAGTACAGAGGGTGGCAGTAGAATTGGGGAATATTGTATATCAAATAAATAAAAATTCAAGCATAAAGTCACTTATCATTTATATATAAGTTTTATTTGATAATTACTTTAATAAGATATTTATCAATTATTTATTACTGGAGAGCTTATAAAGCAGGCAGAGTTGAACACACTTTAAATATAATTCCCCTTTGTGATGACTAGATCATATCAAACACAGATTCAATGTCTTGTAATTACACAGTATAACAAACCAATCTCCTATTTCCCTGACAAACTGTATATAATGTTATGACGATGGACGTATTTCCTCTAAAACAAACATCCTCATTTTTATCGAGATCAAGTAAGCGGCAGAGAATAACAACAACTCAAAACAGATAAACCTCATTTCATGTCAATCTAAAACAACCTCAACACTGGAAACCCAAAAGGGATGAAAGGGGAACACCTGGAGTCTTCACAATAACAACATCCACCACACCAACAACATACAAAAAATCAAAATGGGAACACCTGGAGTCTTCACAATAACAACATCCAACACACCAGCAACACCAAAACCTAAACAGGGAACACTTGGAGTCTTCAAAATAACAACATCCACCACACCAACAACATACAAAAAATCAAAATGGGAACATCTGGAGTCTTCACACCAGCAACATCGAAAACCCAAACAGGGAACATCTGGAGTCTTCAAAATAACAACATCCACCACACCAACAACATACAAAAAATCAAAATGGGAACACCTGGAGTCTTCACACCAGCAACATCGAAAACACAAACAGGGAACACCTGGAGTCTTCACACCAGCAACATCGAAAACCCAAACAGGGAACACCTGGAGTCTTCACACCAGCAACATCGAAAACCCAAACAGGGAACACCTGGAGTCTTCACACCAGCAACATCGAAAACTCAAACAGGGAACACCTGGAGTCTTCACACCAGCAACATCGAAAACCCAAACAGGGAACATCAGGAGTCTTCAAAATAACAATATCCACCACACCAACAACATACAAAAAAACAAAACAGGGAACACCTGGAGTCTTCACACCAGCAACATCCAACACACCAGCAACACCAAAACCCAAACAGGGAACACCTGGAGTCTTCATACCACAACTAGCAACATCAAAACCCAAACAGGGAACACCTGGAGTCTTCATACCAGCAACATTGAAAACCCAAACAGGGAACACCTGGAGTCTTCATACCAGTAACACCGAAAACCCAAACAGGAAACACCTGGAGGCTTCATACCAGCAACATCAAAACTCAAACAGGGAACACCTGGAGTCTTCACACCAGCAACACCGAAAACCCAAATAGGGAACACCTGGAGTCTTCAAAATAACAACATCCACCACACCAACAACATACAAAAAATCAAAATGGGAACACCTGGAGTCTTCACACCAGCAACATCCAACACACCAGCAACACCAAAACCCAAACAGGGAACACCTGGAGTCTTCACAACAACAACATCCAACACACCAGCAACACCAAAACCCAAACAGGGAACACCTGGTGTCTTCACAATAACAACATCCACCACACCAACAACATACAAAAAATCAAAATGGGAACACATGGAGTCTTCACACTAGCAACATCCAACACACCAGCAACACCAAAACCCAAACAGGGAACACCTGGAGTCTTCATACCACAAACAGCAACATCAAAACCCAAACAGGGAACACCTGGAGTCTTCATACCAGCAACATTGAAACAGCGACATCAAAACTCAAACAGGGAACGCCTGGAGTCTTCACACCAGCAACACCGAAAACCCAAAAGGGAACACCTGGTAGGAGTTTACATACCAGCACATACCTCCATTTTTTTTTTTTTAACATTCTGATAGAATAGTGTCAAAACAGCTCACATTTGCAAGTTATTAATAGATCTAGTTTCAATATTATCTTAACAGTATGGTTCGACTAGGTGTAACACATCTTTAAACTGTCAGGTACATGTAATGAATTTCAGTCCATATGATGAACTGCCACCTGCAGGAGCCATATTCATATAAGCTTCAATTCTCTGCTCTCAGCGATACACTTGTGACATTCCAATATCATTTATATACCTGTGTATACAGGTATGCAATGGATCAGGTGTCAATCATGATTAGCTCTCAATATTATCTATATACCTGTGTGTACAGGTACGGTCAAATCAGGTGTCAATCAGCTTTAAATTAAGCAAACATAGTTACTGTATGGAAAAGTTGGTGTAGAGCTACAGTAATCTCTGGATGGTGGGCTTATTTACATTTTTTCAAATTGTATGTTACCTTCTGTTTTTCATACTTATATTGATTGCTATTTTTTTCCTTCCTTAATATGGATATGACAAATGTAACAATCTAAGCTTTTCAAATAAATAGGTAGGCAGTATGTCTGTGATCATTCTAAAACATAAAGATAATAAACAAGAGATCCCAGAGGGATCTTGGCGCCCACCATTTGAGGATCTTTTTTCAGTTCTTGAAGATTTGTTTATTTTTTTTGTTTGTTACAGGTGTTGCAAATGTTCATGAACTGGTCTTCATTGAATATACTCAATGATGGCACAAGATATTTTTATTAAGCACCTATTAGCAAATATCATTTGAAAGTATTATTAGATAGCAGTCAGTTACAGGTGGATAATGGACAATATGCTTGTGCTGTATTACTGTCGACATCCAAGATGGCTGCCTGTGGGCCACCTTGATTTCAAATCAGTCCAAAAAAGGTACAATGCACAACTAGGGACCAAGGGAAACCAATATCTATGAAATATCAGAAGGATCCATCCAGTACTTCCACAAATATAGCAGTAACAAGATTTTACTCTCAAAATCCAAGATGGCTGCCTGTCAGCCATCTTGATTTCTGATCAGTCCAAAAAGGTATAATGCACAACTTGGAACCAAAGGGAACCTGCATATGAAATTTGAGAAAGATCCATCCAGTACTTTCCAAGAAATAGCGATAACAAACTTTTACATTCAAAATCCAAGATGGCCGCCTGTCTGCCATCTTGAATTCGAATCAGTCCAAAAAAGGTACAATGCACAACTAGGGACCAAGGGGAAACTGCATATGAAATTTGAGAAAGATCCATCCAGTACTTTCCAAGAAATAGCGGTAACAAACTTTTACATCCAAAATCCAAGATGGCCACCTGTCTGCCATCTTGAATTCGAATCAGTCCAAAAAAGGTACAATGCACAACTAGGGACCAAGGGGAACCTGCATATGAAATTTGAGAAAGATCCATCCAGTACTTTTCAAGAAATAGCAGTAACAAACTTTTACATCCAAAATCCAAGATGGCCACCTGTTGGCCATCTTGAATTCGAATCAGTCCAAAAAAGGTACAATGTACAACTAGGAACTAAGGGGAAACTGCATATGAAATTTGAGAAAGATCCATCCAGTACTTTCCAAGAAATAGCAGTAACAAACTTTTACTTCCAAAATCAAAGATGGCTGCCTGTCAGCCAAAAAGGTACAATGCACAACTAGGGACCAAGGGGAAACTGCAAATGAAATTTGAGGAAGATCCATCCAGTGCTTGCTCAGAAATAGCGGTAACAAACTTTTACTTCCAAAACCCAAGATGGCCACCTGTCGGCCATCTTGAATTCGAATCAGTCCAAAAAAGGTACAATGCACAACTAGGGACCAAGGGAAAACTGCATATGAAATTTGAGAAAGATCCATCCAGTACTTTTCCAGAAATAGCGGTAACAAGAATTGTTTACGGACGGATGGACGGACGGACGACGGACCACCGACGCAGGGCGATTTGAATAACCCACCAT